TTCCTTATCTAATATATTTCTTGTAGTACATATTCTATTAAATTATAATAGAAAGTAAAACTCAAGTGGTAGTATCTTTATTATTTACTTAATCCTAATGATATATATCATTTGTATAAAAGATTTGATACCAACATTAGCACCAAGTTAAATTCTACCAAATTAAAAAGTAAAATCTAAGTGTTATCTTTTTTATTTATTTTTTCTTAACTCTAAAGATCTGTAACATTTGCATAAAAGATTTTTTTTTAAATAATTGGAGTCAAATTCAATCCCACGCTTTTTCTTCCAATCAACGTAATAATAGTTATTTAATTCTCTTTCAAAATATTATTATATGATAAAATTGCGTTACGTTACTCAATTCAAATGTGATCACAAAAAATTAAAGAAGTAACGTAAAATTAAAAATATTTAAATAGAAATAATTTAAATAGAAAAATTTTTTATCACTTGGCACTGCTAGATAAAAAAAAACAATTAAAACAATTAAAAAATAATGAATTTAATTTAAATGTTAAATTGGAAAAACAAAAAATGTTTTTTTTTCATTTTCATAACTTATTGTATTGTATTTCGGAATCTAGTAGCGCAGTGTTTTACATAAAAAATTTTTCTATTTAAATTAATTTTTTTTTATTTTATACTGTTACTTCTTCAATTCTTTGTGATAACACTTGGATAAAGCAAAATTACATGATTTTGATACAATGTTTTGAAAGAGAATTAAATAACTATGTTGATTGAAAGAAAAAGTGTGGGATTTACTTGGCGCCAGAGAGCTGTTGATATCAAATCTTATATACAAATAATATATATCATTAGAGTTAAGTAAATAAAAAATATAACTATAGATGTTATATTAAATTCGGTTAAAAGAGTGTCTTGTATACCGGATGTAAACGTAGTCATTGACTTGATAGTCTATAGTCGGCGATTCGGAAGCGATCTAAAAAAACAGTCAGTAAGATGGGATTGGTCGAAATGGATGAGTCGGTAAGAGTTTAAGGAGATCTTAAAGTGAAGCCCAAACTCCGACGAGGTCACCAGAGGTCGCTGTTTTACAGCACATCGACATATCTTTATACAGGATGGAGAATTTTAATCGCTCCAAGCGAATATCTCAGAAACTAAAAAAGATACAAGAAAAAGTTTTATGTTTTCTTAGGAGAAAGAAGATGGAAATAACGGATTTTAGATAGGGGGCACTACCAAGGTCAGGTCAACATAAATTGTTTAAATAAAACCCTCATTTTTCATTGCATATTCTTGTAGATTACCTCAAGAGCTTTCCAAAATACTATAATAAAATATTTCTTCATTATGTACATTTCGAGTTATAAGGCTTGAAAGTTACAATATCGCCGGCATTAGCATTACGCTAATAAGGTATCCGACCGACAGCTAAAACCTCTTGAATGTTGTTCAGGATCATATCCTGGATAACATTTGTTAAGATCAAGATTATTGGAAATAAGATTGTTTCTCTTATTTTCATTTTTGCATTGAAAATTTATTTTTTATGTAAGCTACAAGAATATGCAATGAAAAATGGGGGGTCCCATTTAAAAAATTCATGTTGATCTTGACCTGACCTTGGTAGTGCCTCTATCCAAAATCCATTATTTCTACCTTCTTTTTCCCCAAGGAAACCTACAACTTTCATATAAAACTTTTTCTTATATCTCTCTTAGTTTCTGAGATATTTGCCTGGGGCGATTAAAATGCCCCACCCTGTATACTACCACCACAATATCTCACGCAAACTATAATATAATACACGCAGTCGCACATTCGTGTTAATTTCCGTATAATAAATTCGCAATACAGTGTCTAAGTCTAATTCCAAGAACTCGACGTTGTTTGTTCATGTGAACCACGTGTCTGTGGATCACAATTTTATAAGTACAAATTGCAAAGTTATTATATCAAACAAATATTGTTATTAACAGCTCTAACATATTAGACTAAGAAATGGTAAAGGTCTTAATTTCAAAATTTTTTGTCGTGCTCAGCACAGACTCCACCTCATAGCACGTATTAATGTGTATACTTTAATATTGGAAAAGGATTTTCAAATCAGTAAGAAAGCTTAGGAAAAAAGTAATCGTTATACAAAAAATATTTATTATTTGTTCGGTAATAGAGACGACTTTAAGATCCCCTTAATAGTATGTCGCCAACAGCCAACTTGTAATAGCAAATTCTGTCACTGACATTATGCTAAATATGCATACTAAAAGCTGCTATACATGAAATTAGCAAAGTTAAATAAAAAAAAAAATATATAAATATTTTAAATGATTAATTATCTACTAATATATATTTGTCATGTTATTTAACAAAATATATCCCAGAGAGCACAAAGTCATCTAAAAAAATGATTAAACTGTTATGAAGATATCTTTTAGTAAAAAAATATAGTCAATAATAAGATGATTAAAAGATGACAGATGTCGTATTGCTAGTCATTTTTATAGATAGTCTTTTATCCTATTCTGTGTGATTTTTTAAATTCGAGAATTTTAACTCGCTGTGTCTCTCTGGTGACGGTGCCGCATACAGCTCAACGATATTTTGTTTACGAGCATTCTGCTATGCCCGTATCAGATTACGAATTGACGATAATGATTAACGGTTGCCTGGTTCTACTTCAACCAATCACGAAGTAGCGAGTCCATCGTAATTGGCTGAAATAGAATCAGGCAGCTGTCAATCGTAATCGTCAACCCGTAATCTGATACTCTCTTTACACAAGCCAAACACTTCTTTTACGCTCTGTTAACTTTTTTTAATGTTTAATTGCTTTATTAATTCTTGCTTTACGTTCTATTAAAAAAAAATTTAGCCTTAGAAGTGTACACAAAGCGTATTAGAATGTTCTGTAAACTCTTTGCAAAGCGTTTAGGAAACGTAGACAAAGGGTCAATGTGTAGTGATTAAGTGTATCGGCACGCTTCATGCACTCTTTGCGGAGCGTTGTGAAGCGTTTGGGAAATGTTAATGAAAAAGAAATATTTAAGAACGTGCGGGGAATGTAACAGATGTGTTCCATGCACGTTTGGCGAGAGTTCGGGAAATGTATATGAATATACATTCAAAATCACAAAGAGTCAATGGAAAGTCAATAAAGTGTTTAAGAAGCGTTAAAATTCATCATTCATACTTTGACGCTTCGACAAGCTTTAATGTTCGTCTATAATGGGCAGTAGTAATAGTGGTAATTGGCTGTAAGACATGTCAGGAGTAAGCTGGTTTTCCAGTATAACATAATAGGGCGTAAAGTAAGTCCGTAAGTGAATGGTTGAAATTCATTTTCTACGTTCTACTCTCTTGTTGCTTACGGTATATTACGGGCTATTTATTCTATGTCCTATTAGGGCCGCATACAAAATTCTGTAACAGTATGTATAAAGTGTAAACTTAAGCCGATAAACCAATCAGGATATTACTTTACATTACGTAATCTGATGGAAATAACAGTAAACTTATCCATAATCTCACAATAAGGTGAATTTCAACCGATTGAAACTCACCTTATGGATAAGTTTACTGCTATTTCTATTTCCGTTAGAGCACGTTGATCTAAAGCAGTATCCTAATAGCTCATCGGCTTAAGTTCACGTCTTAAAGTTACTGTTACAGAAATTTTGTTTGTGGTAGCCCTTATACCGGAAAATCAGCTTACTCCCGATGTATCTTACAGCCTTACCACTATTGCTACTGTTCATCATAGACGAAGCTTTAAGGCATAAGAGCCTGATGAAAATATAAGAGAGCATTTATATTGGCCGTAACTGTGTATGCCGTAATCTGTAAAATTGACCAATCACCACTCCGAGTATCCCCTTCTTACTGTCGAATAAGAGGGGAATATTTCTTAGAGGAGCCTGTGATTAGTCTATTCTTACAGGCCAATATAAACGGCCAATATAAACGCTCCCTTATATTTTCATCAGGCTCTTATGCCTAGTTCAGGCTGGACGTAGCAAGCGTCAAGCAGCGGAGCAGCAACCAATCAGCAAGGCGATATTTACAGTGGCGTAAAAGATATCGCCTTGGTGGGTTGCTGCTCTACTGCTTGGCGCTTGCTGCGTCTAATTGGATACTAAGTATGAATCATGTCGTTAATCGTGCATGAACTGTAAACAATAATGAAAAGTGGTTACTTCTCGGTTTGTGAAAATTTCTGAGGAACAAAATCGATTACTGTGGATGTACATTGCACATACTATACACTGGTGAAACTTTTAACAATAAGTTTTTACTGTAACAAAAATTGGACCATATTTTATTAATTTTTTTATATATTTAAATCTCAATCTGAATTTCAAGAAAGCGTGATATCGACTGTGCTTTAAAAGGCATAAAATTGTGTTAGAGAATTAACAATAACTGGCCAATAAATATTTATTGTCTCGCGCACATTCCAGCGAACCGAATGTTGATGCAGGGCTTGAATAATGAATATCCTGTTTGTCGATCCTTGTGCAATCAAATGTATTTTTCTCATGTAGCAAAAAAATTTCGACAATTTATTGCATAACATAAAAATCAGTATTTGATTTTGTTAACAACAGCAAACGTGTAGCATTATAGTAGCAATAAACAATAAACAGTCCGGCATAGCGTTTAAGTCACGACTGATAATTATGACGAAAAAAAAAGTGATTTTCATCCTACAATAACTTAATTATATGTATGACTTGTATTATCTTGAAAGGACATTATCAATCCCATTTTTCCATCAGTATAAAAATTCATACGTGATCAATGTTAAGAAGAAAGAACGTAAGAAACGTTCACTCGCGACAGACTTTTTATTTAATAATATTTCTTTTTCTTTCCTAATGCGAGAACGAGTTTCTTTTGGATAAGTGTAATGTAGATTGTCGTGGTTTATCGAAAATTCCGACATATAGAGCATGGTACCGATTTTTCGTTCATCCTAGTATTGTCGCGTCTGGCGAGTATGATCCATGCGCATACGATCCACGTACCTAGATTCCAAATCGATCGTTCAACGTGCACCACTCGCGTGGACAACAGCGTGGCCTATAGCGTGGTCACACGATCACCGCGATCGTGCTTAATACAGTATAACAGTTCACTCCTTGATTCTGGCTTTCGACACCCGCTTTTGCTCTTCACCTCTGCGCTCCTTCGGCGTTCTCCCGGTGCGTCAACCGGTTTTTACGACAACGAGAAAGATGGATGACACACACGGGTGTTTACGTTACAATTCACGATGAAAACAATGCACGATCATAAACGCGAGCGAGAGCAACGCCGTCGACAAACTGAATTGTCGGTCGGTACTGTCCAGACGAGCTTCCCTTGGGAAACGACGTCTATCTCACTCGCTCGTTCGCTTGCTCGTACGTTTGCCGCGCCGACTGGAGGAATGAAGAGAGATGAAAAAAGAAGGAGCGGGAATTGAATTTCTACGACTGGCCGACCAATCGCGTGAGTCGATCCGGGTCGCCTTGCAGCGAGTTTATTCGCTCGCGCGTCAGCGCCGTTTTTCATTAATGCCTCTTTTTATCAGTTCTTTCCCCTATAATATATTTTTTTTACTTTGTGAAGAGCTGGACAGCTATGTGTATAAAAAATGCTCCTACATCATATTAAACATGTTACAAGTTGATTGTCAGGTCTCACTGAAAGAAAAATCTTTATCAGGTTTCAACTCTCTATGGGTACGGTACCCAATGCTATGCTACAAACTTTGAAGCGTTTTTTAATTGGTCAATTTGTAAAATTCTTTCTCCTAATTAGTCCATCAAACGCTTCAAAGCATTTATAGCAAGACTTTGACCAGTCTATATCATACCATTTCAATAGAAGTAATCAAAAACATATTTTTTTACTATAATATTTTTATCTTTTTCTAATCTATGAAAAATTATGAAAAATGTCAGTGATATTTAATTAAGAATTATAATTAAAAATATAAATTCGGATTCTAAAAGATGAAGTTTAAAATTGCCAATGTCACCTATAAGATACTTATGCTAAAGATGGCCGGTTTTACGTACGGAAGTTCATGTGACTGTTAATATTTATGGGCCTTCTACAATAAGCCATTAGTCGTAAATCAGAAGTCAGAAGCTAAAAATTGACCACTCACAGTCGTCAATTTTTAGCTTCTGACTTTTGACTTATGACTAATGGCTTATTGTAGAAGGTCCATTAAGTTTTAAGTGATTATAAGAACTGCACCAACGAGATATTATACATTATTAAAGAACGGCCAACTCTGGGAAAATCTTCTTGACTATCAATAGATTCAGAGGGTCCGGGAATAATTGAAGAACGATGACATTATCGACATTTGATATAAAGGATATAGCAGGATAAGAAAGAGATTTCGGGTCTCGCACGTAATTCATCGCTATAGGGAGCAAAATGAACAACCAGATGAAAATATTTTGTACAAAATATTTTATTATATTTTTTCAATTTTACTTTTCTCTATTTGTAATTTATTCTTTTAATTGTATGACAATTTAAAAAAAAAAGTGAATTTGACTCTTTGCCCTTTATTTATTGTTATTTATTTTGTACAAAGTTTTATCTTAAAAAAGCCACATCATTTCGAGATATCGAAGAAATGTTTTTTCATTAGTTTCTTTCTCCGCTAAACCTAAGCGGATTTTAAAAAAAATTGTGAATATAAACAGCCAGTATTAGAAAAATTAGAGTAAAATTTTTTTTGTCATTCTTCTTTTGTCTAGTTCAAAATTCTATTTTTAAAAATTTAAGAATTTTTTAAATTGCATTTTTTATATAATTTGAATATTTGATCACTTCTAAAACAATTCTCAGCAGTCAAATCTTATCATAAATTATATTACATATAATTTTCAGATTTTTAGATTTGATAGAACACGTCGAAAATAAATTTTAATCATAAAGGAAATCTTAACAAGAATAAATTTGTATAACATTTTAAAGTAATTTTGAAGTAATTCTCCTTTTATTTAGTTATTATTTTTACATTATTGTCAAATAAAATAAGTTAAGAACAAGTAAAAAAAGTTAATTTTACATAAATAAAAAATAATATTTACCGCAAAGTTGCTCCATTGGTGCTCGATGTCTCTCCCAAAACTTCTCCTCTTCTCAGAATTAGGTTGACATCCTCTCGCACTCGCGTAAAATACTACTCGCGCACTAATTCTAATTAATTATAATTACAATTCCATTGAATGAATTTTATGAAATGTCCATTAGTCGGATAACTTCATTCTCGAAGCAGACGCGAAGAACCGATTTGTACTTTCAATTAGCTTCCCTGTCGTTGGATTTTTACTGGAAGAGAAAACGATTTTAGATACTCAGGTATCTAAAAATTTATCTAGATATATACATTAAGATATATCCGAAAATTTTTAGATACTTGAGGCAAATCGTTCTTTTCGTGTGTATCCTACGGTACTTCGACTTTTTTTTATTTAAAATACATATTTTAAATAAAATTGTTTTTAATTTACGATCAATCTCTGACTGATACGACTTATTTAAAATAATTAAGGATATAAAATATAAGTTCCGAAACTTGTTTAATCTACTAGCTGCATACACTGGGGTCTCAAAAACCCGGACAACTCCAGTACAATTTGTTAAATCGACATTTTTTCGTGTTGTTGAACTTTTTTTTTTCTTTGAACTTATATATTTCAAAGCTCCTTAATTCTATCTACTTTTACACATCATACTAATTATTTCTTAATCAATTCTCCATTAATTGAAAAAAAATTTATGAAAAAAATGTCCATTTTTACGGAAGTTATAGTAACAAATATGGATGAAGTCTCAGAGATCCAAATATGTGTATATCAAGGATAAAAAAAGTGTGTATCGCTATAGAATTAAAATATAATTAAAAAATAGGTTAGAAGAAGTTGTTAAAAATAATTAATTTTAAATAAGTGTTATTTTTTTCATTAAAAAAAATATATATTTTAAATATCTTTATTTTGTAAATACAATCGAGCTCTGTATATTATTAGTACATTGATAATTTAACTTTATATTATGTGAAATAAAGTAAAATCCAATTATTGTTTCGTCGCGGAATTAATGAAATAATATCTTATATCGATTTTCTCAGAACTCAGCAGTTTAGTTTTTACGAGGCGAGTTGTTTAATGTGATATCGTAATTATATTGTGGTATGTACACCGAAGAACATTTATTTTATAATTTCAAATATATATTTTATATCAATTACTTAATCTTCTGACAAAGGGCAAGAAGTAAGCTGTAAATTAATCAATCGATTATTTTTGTCATATTTGACTATGATTGGCCAATTTTATACGGCTTACGCTTTGCAACCTTAAGGGCTGCCGCACACAGAATTCCGTAACAGTATGCGTAAAGTGTAAACTTAAACCGATGAGCCAATCAGGATACTGCTTTAGATTATGTATCTGTCTAACGGAAATAACAGTAAACTAGTATCCATAACCTCGCAATAAGGTAAATTTTAACCGATTGAAACTCATCTTATGGAAGTTTACTGCTGTTTCTATTTCTGTTAGAGTACGTAAATGTAAAGCAGTAATCTGATTGGCTCATCAGCTTAAGTTCATATCGTAAGGTTGCTGTTAGAGAAATTTTGACTGCGGTGGCTCTAACCCCGGATCTACAATAGATTTTTAAGTCTTAAGTAGGTCCACAACCTTGCTTTATCACTTATTCTAACATTATATTATTTTAAATAACTTCTTCTAACCTATTTTTTCCTCGCATTCGATTGTAGTTGGTCAATCTTT